ACACTCCTGGAACAGACACACGGACACTCCTTCATCCCCTCCACCCATTTGACCTCCTGGAACAGACACACGGACACCTTTTCATCCCCTCCATCCACATGACCCCTGGAACAGACACACGGACACTCCTTCATCCCCTCCATCCACTCACCTCCTGGAACAGACACACAGACACTCCTTCACCCCCTCCACCCACTCGACCTCCTGGAACAGACACATGGACACTCCTTCATCCCCTCCATCCACTCGACCTCCTGGAACAGACACATGGACACTCCTTCATCCCTTCCACCCACTTGACCCCCTGGAACAGACACACAGACACTCCTGGAACAGACACACAGACACCTTTTCATCCCCTCCATCCACTCGACCTCCTGGAACAGACACACAGACACTCCTTCATCCCCTCCATCCACTCGACCCCCTGGAACAGACACACGGACACTCCTTCATCCCCTCCACCCATTTGACCCCCTGGAACAGACACATGGACACTCCTTCATCCCCTCCATCCACTCGACCTCCTGGAACAGACACACGGACACTCCTGGAACAGACACATGGACACTCCTTCATCCCCTCCATCCACTCGACCCCCTGGAACAGACACATGGACACTCCTTCATCCCTTCCACCCAATTTGACCTCCTGGAACAGACACACGGACACCTTTTCATCCCCTCCACCCACTCCTGGAACAGACACACAGACACTCCTTCATCCCCTCCACCCACTCGACCCCCTGGAACAGACACATGGACACCTCTTCATCCCCTCCACCCATTTGACCTCCTGGAACAGACACATGGACACCTTTTCATCCCCTCCACCCACTCGACCCCCTGGAACAGACACATGGACACCTTTTCATCCCCTCCATCCACTCGACCTCCTGGAACAGACACACGGACACTGAGGGGATGCTGCTGCTGGCAAGCAGAGCACACCAGGAGCACTCCAGCCCCCTTGGGAGGCTCCTGTCATGCCCCCCAATCTCTCCCCGTGGCCATTCCCCAGCTCAGAGCCCAGAGTGAGGCCCCCCCAGCCCCACCTTGTCGTTGTGTTGTCCCCCCATCTCCTTCCTCTTCTTGCTCCTCGCGGCCCCGTGGATCTTGGGTGGCTCGTCCTCCTCCTCCACATCTGGCAAAGACACCTCTTCAAACCCGTCAAACTGCAACAAAACAAACTCCCATCACTGCTCCCAGCTTTGTTCTCCCTGGAGACACAAATCCTGTCCAAAGATTTGAAGAGTTTCCTTCAAACTCTTCTCTCCCACCCCACCACTTCCCCCTCCCTGGAACTGCAGCCTCTGTTTGAGTTCTCCCAGTTCAAACAAATCTCCCATCTCTGGTTTTATCCTCTCTGGCCTTAGAAAAGGTTGCTGCACCTCGTATTCCTTCTCCTCTGTCCAGTTGATCTCCTCGAAGTCTCCCATCCTGCTGGCCGAGGGCCGGAGGTGGTCGAAGAACACAGAGAACTCGTCCTGCAGGTGGTCGTGGCCCTTCAGCAGCTGCCACATCTGGGTCTTCAGCTGGAGGAGAGAAATCCAGAGGAAATGAGGCTCGTTCCATGTCCTCACATTGCCCTCTGAAGGATTCTCAAAGCAAGTGGAGCATCAAAGGTTTGTTAAGCATCCAACGTCGACGTCTGTGCTTGCACTGCGACTGCTTCCTGAGTATTCTGAGGTCATTCCACACCCAGCCAGCAAATCAGCACGGAATTACCCCTCCAGAATTCCAGACAGACCCTGGAGGAGGCACCAAGCTAAAAATCTCACCTGCAAGGTGACAGGGAGGAGACAGGCAGGGCATCAACTGGGCAGCCCCTTGAAGAGGCAGCTCCAGCTGTCCTGGAACCCAAGGCCAGGTTGGATTGGTCCAGTGGAAGGTGTCCTTTCCCAGGGCAGGGGGTGGAACAGGAGGAGCTTTCAGGTGCCTCCCAACCCAACCCAACCCATTCTGTGGTTCTATGGATTGAGCTGTGCCCCCAAACTGCTGCCCAGGAGCAGCACACGGGGACAGGGAGCCAGGCTGGAATCACCCTCAGGGCTCTGGCAGAGAGGGGACACCTGGTTACCTCTGCAATCTCCTGGGGCAGACAGTCTGCACAGCTCTGCAGGACCTTGATGATCTTCTGGTGGTGGGCAGGGTTCTCAGCGAAGCAGATCTCCAGCTGCCGGAGGAACTTGCGGCTCTTCTCGAAGGCTTGCTGCTCCTCAAACTGCACAGACCAAACCCAGTCACCCTCACGGCCAAGAACACACTCCCAAACACCTCGAGCTGGCTCAAACAAGCCATAAAATCCCTGTCCTGGTCTTTGTTTTCCATGGCATTGATGCTCCTGGGGGGCCAAATCTGGGGGGACTCGGAGGAGGAGAAGCAACGCTTTGTGTGATCAATGTTACACCAGTTATAAAGCTTTCCTTCAACCACCTGCACACAAAACAGGGACTGGACATTCTCAGAGAGAATGGAAGAGGTGAAACCCTCTGTTTGATCAGTGCAAGGCTGACCTGGAGGCCAGGGAACCACCACAGTTTGCTGGGTCTGCACATTGTCCCTGATGGAACTGGGAAAGGTTCCTCCAGTAACCCCGAGCAGGAGATTCACAACCCACACCAAACCTCCCAGTTCTGACTGAGAAACCAGCCAGTGATTTCCCAGCCCCCTGCCCTAGGAAGAACTCTTTATCCTTTCACTCCCACAGCCATTCAAGGTTGTTTAAAAATCTTTTCTCCTCCTCTCCTCCCACCTACCAGCCCACACTCCAAAGCTTGCTCTGGCAAGAGGAAGGCAGCAAAGTCTGTGAG